TTTTAGACAGGGTCTTGCTCTGTCACCCAGGTTGGACTGCAGCAGCATGATCTTGACTCACCTCTGCCTCCTGGGGTCTGACGATCCTCCCACCTCAGCCTTCAGAGTGGCAGAGACTACAGGCTCACACCACCACACCTGGCTAATTTTTCTAATTTTTAATAGAAATGGGGTTTCACTATGTTGCCCAAGCTGGTCTCCAGCTCCTGGGCTCAAGCTATATGCCTGCCTTGGCCTCCCAAGGTGCTGAGATTACAGGTGTAAGCCACCACATGAAATCAAGCCCGGCCATGCTTGATTTTTAATATAAAGCATCATCTCTCTCTCTTTTTACCTGAAAAAAATCCCCTCCCACCCACCTTATATTTCCTAAACAATAAAAAATGAATTTTACCATTTCTGGTCATCAAAGGCATTTTTTTAGATGGCTTACAGTCTTTTAAATTATAGAACACATTTACAACATCCTTGACACTTAAATAACATTTCCAGTGTTCTTTTTTTCTTTTTTAATTATATTTCTAAAGATAGCTAAGGGAACAATTTCAAGTAGTTCCTCTGTACTTTTAGATGTAAGTTGTTTCAATCTCCTTGTATTCCTGAGAATTAAGAGACTCGCAGTTTGCCATGTCCTATCATGTTAGCTTATTTTGTAGGGAAATCTAATCTGGCACCTTTCAATTAACTTCTTTACCTCTCTAATCTAAAAACAGATGGAATACTTTCTGTAGCAAGAAGGCATGATTACTATCTGTGGATTGCCTTGACTTCCTCAACTGTGTCTTCTGTCATTTCAAAATTTACTAAAAGACCTCTAATAAAAGTAGGAAAGCACAGACAGAAAGAAGGTGATGGTGTTGAAAAATAATTTACCCCTAGTCGTGAGCTTGGCAGCTCTTCGAGGGATCACAATGGTGTATCTCATCTGGACCTAGAGGTCCCGAAGGAGGAGATAAGTGGAGGTGTTTTGTACCCTGGAGCTTAGTCATTCTCCTCAGTGACTCCAGTGCAAGCTATTTTGGAGGAAGATAAAGAGGAAAGGAGACAAGAAGTGGAAAAGAAAAAAGTCTCTGCCTTCATACATGCTTCTGTTCACTACGTTTATACTACTTTTTTTTCCTTTGAAAAATTTTTTCTTTGAATTTTTTTTCTTTGAATGATTCGATTTTTTTAAATTACGTGGTCATGACGTATGTTAGGTAACAAAAAGAAAAATAAATAATGATTCCAATTTTGTTAAGTATATGTATAGAAAAAAGGAAAGTAAGCAAATCGATCAGTTATCTCTGGGTGATAATATAATGAATAATCTTTATCACCTTCATACTATATTCTTTATATTTTATTCTCTAAAACTTTCCGTTAAGCCTGAGTAAGTTTTTGTATCAGAGTTTTAAAATACATTTTAAAAGGAAATGGCAACTAATTCAGCTACAGCTTTTTTATAACATCGTATATGAAAGTTCCTATATAGTAAATGTATTTGGAAATGTAATGCATTTGGAATAATTCTTCAGTAAAGATGCATCTTTTTAAGTGACTTTATTAGTCTCCATTTTGCATTTTTAAATATATAACTATGCAGGGCTTCACATTTTCCCCTTCACTTTTGCTAGCTGTCAGTCATCACCTCTACCTTGAAACAAGTCTATGACCAGTGGGATTTGTAGATAATTATCATTAACTGATTGAGTGGATTCAGCAGTGTGCCTGTTGTAATTAAGTGTTTGGATATGCAAATAGATGAAGAATAGATAAAAGAGAAGGTACTGATTGGGCTGTTAAATTCACAATACGATGGTTGATGGTGACAAGTAACAGCATGATGTCCTTTTGAAGATACTATATTATTTCTTGAATACCTTTTCAACTAAGTTACTGTTATTTGAAATTCCACTTAATGCCAACCCTGGCCTCTCAACATTTCATTCCAATCTCATTGTTTTTGAAAGGCTCAGGGTTATATTGGCACTTTTTTCATTACTGCCCTTAACTGACCATTTCCTCTTTTCTTTCCTACAACAGATTGCAGATTGAGCTTAACCAAGAAGTTCGTAGGCTAATCAAGGCTGGCTTGACCTACAAAAGAAGAGAGTTCAGCCTGCCCACTTGGGCTTGTGTTGACACGGCTGATAACTTGCCATCACCTGTTGCCAGTGTGGAAAAATTCTCCCTGTTGAATTTTTTGCACATGGAGGACAGCAGCAAAGAGGGCAACACAGGCTGATAAGACCCAAGACAGCAGGGAGATTATTTTACCATACGCCTTCAGGACGTTCCCTCTAGCTAGAGTTCTGGACTTCCGCAGAACCCGGTCCAGTCATTTTGATTTTGCTATCTGTTTATTTTTTTTTTCTTTTTCTTTTTCCCACTACATTGTATTTTATTTCTGTACTTCAGAAATGGGCCTACAGACCACAAAGTGGCCCAGCCATGGGGCTTTTTTCCTGAAGTCTTGGCTTATCATTTCCCTGGGGCTCTACTCACAGGTGTCCAAACTCCTGGCCTGCCCTAGTGTGTGCCGCTGCGACAGGAACTTTGTCTACTGTAACGAGCGAAGCTTGACCTCAGTGCCTCTTGGGATCCCGGAGGGCGTAACCGTACTCTACCTCCACAACAACCAAATTAATAATGCTGGATTTCCTGCAGAACTGCACAATGTACAGTCGGTGCACACGGTCTACCTGTACGGCAACCAACTGGACGAATTCCCCATGAACCTTCCCAAGAATGTCAGAGTTCTCCATTTGCAGGAAAACAATATTCAGACCATTTCACGGGTTGCTCTTGCCCAGCTCTTAAAGCTTGAAGAGCTGCACCTGGATGACAACTCCATATCCACAGTGGGGGTGGAAGACGGGGCCTTCCGGGAGGCCATTAGCCTCAAATTGTTGTTTTTGTCTAAGAATCACCTGAGCAGTGTGCCTGTGGGGCTTCCTGTGGACTTGCAAGAGCTGAGGGTGGATGAAAATCGAATTGCTGTCATATCCGACATGGCCTTCCAGAATCTCACGAGCTTGGAGCGTCTTATTGTGGACGGGAACCTCCTGACCAACAAGGGTATCGCCGACGGCACCTTCAGCCATCTCACCAAGCTCAAGGAATTTTCAATCGTCCGTAATTCGCTGTCCCACCCTCCTCCCGATCTGCCAGGTACACATCTGATCAGGCTCTATTTGCAGGACAACCAGATAAACCACATTCCTTTGACAGCCTTCTCAAATCTGCGTAAGCTGGAACGGCTGGATATATCCAACAACCAACTGCGGATGCTGACTCAAGGGGTGTTTGATAATCTCTCCAACCTGAAGCAGCTCACTGCGCGGAATAACCCTTGGTTTTGTGACTGCAGTATCAAATGGGTCACGGAATGGCTCAAATACATCCCTTCATCTCTCAACGTGCGGGGTTTCATGTGCCAAGGTCCTGAACAAGTCCGGGGGATGGCCGTCAGGGAATTAAATATGAATCTTTTGTCCTGTCCCACCACCACCCCCGGCCTGCCTCTCTTCACCCCAGCCCCAAGTACAGCTTCTCCGACCACTCAGCCTCCCACCCTCTCTATTCCAAACCCTAGCAGAAGCCACACGCCTGCAACTCCTACCACATCGAAACTTCCCACGATTCCTGACTGGGATGGCAGAGAAAGAGTGACCCCACCTATTTCTGAACGGATCCAGCTCTCTATCCATTTTGTGAATGATACTTCCATTCAAGTCAGCTGGCTCTCTCTCTTCACCGTGATGGCATACAAACTCACATGGGTGAAAATGGGCCACAGTTTAGTAGGGGGCATCGTTCAGGAGCGCATAGTCAGCGGTGAGAAGCAACACCTGAGCCTGGTTAACCTAGAGCCCCGATCCACCTATCGGATTTGTTTAGTGCCACTGGATGCTTTTAACTACCGCGCGGTAGAAGACACCATTTGTTCAGAGGCCACCACTCACGCCTCCTATCTGAACAACGGCAGCAACACAGCATCCAGTCACGAGCAGACGACGTCCCACAGCATGGGCTCCCCCTTTCTGCTGGCCGGCTTGATCGGGGGCGCGGTGATATTTGTGCTCGTGGTCTTGCTCAGCGTCTTTTGCTGGCACATGCACAAAAAGGGGCGCTACACCTCCCAGAAGTGGAAATACAACCGGGGCCGGCGGAAAGATGATTATTGCGAGGCAGGCACCAAGAAGGACAACTCCATCCTGGAGATGACAGAAACCAGTTTTCAGATCGTCTCCTTAAATAACGATCAGCTCCTTAAAGGAGATTTCAGACTGCAGCCCATTTACACCCCAAATGGGGGCATTAACTACACAGACTGCCATATCCCCAACAACATGCGATACTGCAACAGCAGCGTGCCAGACCTAGAGCACTGCCATACGTGACAGCCAGAGGCCCAGCGTTATCAAGGCGGACAGTTAGACTCTTGAGAACACACTCGTGTGTGCACGTAAAGACACGCAGATTACATTTGATAAATGTTACACAGATGCATTTGTGCATTTGAATACTCTGTAATTTATACGGTGTACTATATAATGGGATTTTAAAAAAGTGCTGTCTTTTCTATTTCAAGTTAATTACAAACAGTTTTGTAACTCTTTGCTTTTTAAAACTTAAAAAAAAAAGTTGCTGAAGTACTGTACAGGGTTGTACAATGAGAACCCAATGCCAAGGCAAAAAGAACGAGTGATTCTTTCTTAGGATACACATCAACCACTTCGCTGTTGAAGCTGTCAGAATAAATTCCTGGTGGTCAGATGAAAGGGCAGATTAAATGGACTCATCAGGGTAAGAGGAATAATATGGGTGAAACAAGAAATGGCCCAGAGAGTTTCACACTATTCCTATACCTCCAGGTCTGGAAGACAGGTAAAAAAATTCTATAATGTAAGAATGGAGGTAGTTACCCTGATTTGACCCAGTGCGGGAAATGCTGAAAGCACCAGGAGGAAGCTAGTTCCCGTGAGATAAGTTAACCTGGCCTGACAGAATCAAGAAAATTGAGATGAGATTTGAAAAGACCTGAAAATGCAGGGGTTGGCTTTCCGACTGGGAACTTAAAAATCACTCTTCATGCTTCCCTGGTCCTAAGTGATAACAGAGTTAGAGACTTGAGTCTGATTTCAGTCATCTTCAGGGACCGGTCTGATGTTGTAGCAAGAAAACTCCCTTTAAAAGTGTTACTGTTCAAATCGTATGTCAGGTTGAATCACATTCAACAGAGATATATTCTAGAATAATTTTTTAGAAGAGGCTAATAAAATTAAGGGAAGAATTATATTGAATGGAATTATTTTTGATAATGAGAATTATTTGGGTAGATTCACTGAGGCTATGTCAACATGATATTTAGACCAACAGGTGATCAATGTTTTGAAAATACAACAATGACTTATTTAAAAATTACCCTTACTGCTATTTAGACAAAAACAACTGGTCAGTGGTTCTGTTATGTCAGCTGACTTTGTTAGTATCATGTTGAAATAGCTTGAAGTAATATCTTTTATCCCCTTGCAAATTCTTGTCTTCCAATCATCTCCCATATATTTTCATAATTAGTTGTTTATAACACCTTCGTTTTTCTCCCTCTCCTCAGTATTTCAAAGAAAATTATGGATGCCAATCTTGGCTGCACAAAATATCCATATGTACTTATACATTTTTAAATGCATACTAATTTTCACTGCTAATAATTCTGTAAGGACACATCAAAGCTGGCCAAAATAATTAATTTTTTAAAAAGCGACACCTGGTTTCCACCTTGTACTGACTTTGATCCTGTTCCACTCTTGAAATTTTATTTGTTCCTTTTCCGTCGTGGATGTTCCTCTACTTTGGCAGTTGCGGAGGGATCATCAATCTTCTGTTAGTAGGACAACGCATGAAAAACAAACAAGTCAGAGAGTAAAGGCTTGTTCCCCTAATCCTGGCAGAGCAGGGCATAGAAAAGAGAGGGATGTCCTTGCTTAATTCTAGATACTTTTGAGGCAACATCTTCATAAAACACATAGTTTAATCTTTGCCGTCCTTAGACAGAGAAGGGCTATGGATCACATACATTATCAAAAACTACTCCCTTGGAAAAAAAAAATCTTTTTAAAATCAAATTTAAACATTTCACTCTGTGATGCATATTTCTTTTACCACTGGCCATTATTATAAGGACCCATGAAGTAAATGTCACCATCATCTTACTTGCTCTCTCTCTCTCAGCAAAATAAAACTGTGATGTGTCTTCTTTGTAAAAGTTTAGGTATAAAATGCTATGCAACTTTTTCTTTATAGTAAGAGCTTTATTTTCTTTAATAATATAGCCCAACTTATATGTTTTAATCTCCCTTCTCCCTCAGAATAAGCAGAAAATATAACTGCAGCTGTATGTTAGACACAAGAATTGAAACTGTGCAGTCAGTAGAGCTGAACTTAGCTATGAATTAATTTAAATTAATTCTAAAGTGACTCTGGTTTCCATTTTAGTCTATTAGCTAGAGGGTTTTGGCTGTTGCTTTTTTTAAAGTTAGGTCCACGCAGTGAAGGGAAAAGAGTGTGAAGGTGATCAGTGTAGCACTAAGACATCTAAAGTCAAGACAATAACATGGGGGCTTTGTGTACTTAGCTGGGTAATTCCCTTCTACTGTCCTCTTCCCCTTGGCTGTGTAGATAAAATTGTGCATTCAAATGATGGTACTTTGACTTTTGAGGGTTTTTATTTCTGTTATTCACCAAATGATCATTCTCATTTATGTATATTGTGTGTTTAACCCCCAGTGGGATTTCTGGCTGCTGACATCGCTTTGGGCCAGGAAAAACAAGGATGAAGAGGTTCCTGTCATTTCTTATGGAGTTCACAGAATTATTTGGGGCTTAAGTAGTACAATGGAGACAGTCACGTGCAATGCTTAAGGTGGTCTGACGGGGTCCCTTTTGCTGGAGGTGTTCCTGAAGAGATTGAACCTAGTAACAGGCTTTATTTTCATCTTGTGTACAACATGACAAAGACTGCTAAGATTAAAATCCGTCTCCCATTTGTTGCAGCCTCACCTACACCAGGATAGAAAGCACATGATGGAATCTGTGATGTCTAATGTGTCTTATGAAAATAGCCAAACAACTGTCCCTGGCGATTCTGCTTTGATTGGCATTTTTAGTCATGGGAATGTATTTTTGCAGAAATACCTGCTTTGTGTTTGGGCCTGTCTTGCTGTCATTATGATGTATTTTGAGATGATGAGTCAAGAGTCAAGGTTGGGAGTACAGGCCAAGACCATGGAAAAAAATCCATGCTCGCTGGCCAATAAAGAGCTTGATGCTGCCTGGCCAAATAAGGTGATTCAGATAGAATCTGATCCCGTTCAGAGCTCGGTAACTGTCACTGTACAGAAGACATTGAAAAGGAAGTGGCATAGTCATGATCACAAGGATATATTGACAGTTATCTATAGCCAGGGTAGTTGTTAATACCTGCTTGTTTGGGGAGATATGTTTGATTATAGAGACACTCTGGGCTACCCTCAAACACCATCAGATGCAATTAGCAGCCCACGGCATGGGACAATCGCAGGCAGCTACGAGGATTGTATCCCCTGCCTATTTTCCTTGTGTATCAAATGGAAAACATTCTCCCCTGTGAGAAAGAATGCAGTTTCTAATTATCTGGATGTTCGTTGAAAACATATTAGACATTGTCCCTGAGGTTACAAACAAAACCTATAATGTGACCTGTCTGGTAAAAAGTATTAATGAAGTAGCTCATATTACAACTTCATTTTCTACTAGCACCTATCATAATAGTCTTAGTCATTTCACACAAATCAGAACTTCCTTCCCCACCAGGGAGGACAACTTCATGCTGTGATCGAAGCATCCATTCAGAACACGAGGCAATAGTGTAGTCCACAGGGAATGGATGCTTCACTTGATCGCCGGACCTCAGCTGCAGAGGCCATCGCAGCTCTTGAAAAATGAAGTGGTTAATTTCCATTGGTATCTTTGCTTATAGCATTTTTCTCTAACCTATAACAAGGAGACATTACGTTTTACTTTAGAACATGAGAATAGCAGTTTTGCTCACGATTTACCATTCCAGCTGCAGGGGAAAGCAAAGCAGAAAGCAGTGCCCCAAACGGAAAAAAGATACTTACACAGAACAAAACAGTTCTTGGTCTTTTTCTTGGTCTTGTCAAACCCTGCCTGATGCTCTTTCTAAAGTCAAAATACGAATGCTAAGAAGGCATAACCTACATCCTTCTCTGATTTCTTCAGCAGGGTCAAAAGACAGTTACCAGCAATGGGGAATGCTTGTCACTGTGGAGAAAGAGTTTTGTACATCTCTGGTACCGTTGTTATAACAAATCAGATTTTCTTACTCTAGTTTTTTGTTTTCTAGCTACACACCCACCGGAAGAGCACAAAGGAAGGCCATCGCAACAAGCATTTTAAAATTAATATCAAACATGCACATGCGTGGACACACACACACACACACACACACACACAGGGGCATTTGTAAAGGTGTCCCTGGATTGTAAGATTTATAACCGTTTAAGGCAAGGTGAAGGCATTGCCAACTGTGTGTCCCTCATAGGACTAGTGTATATTCACTGAAAGTTAACCTGATGATTTGTTATTGTTTGAACCATATGCTGATTTGCTTCTGGTTTCTGTTTAGTGTGTTCTCTCTGACAAGGGGCTGGAAGATTCTGCATCACACATCCTCTGAGACCTACCATGTCGCACACTTTGTTAATGACAAACTTCACTCTACACTATACAGTACCTTGTTGATATATTCAGTAAAGTCTTATTTTAAAAGAAAACCACATTGTGTTTATCTGAGTAAGTTCATTGGGATACAGTCAATACTTGTGCTGTTAATGTAGAATAAATGATGCAGGAGGGCAGGAATAAAGGAAGTAATAGGATTTTTGTATTCTCCTATCATGAAGATGACTTGCATTTCTAAAGGCCATTTGATCCTTTTTGTATGAGGAGTTTATATGAAATCCTCATGTTCTTTTAAATTTCCTAACTAAATTGTGTGTTCCTATGAATACACACATACACAGAGCATCTTATTTCATATTGGTGAAATCTATGTTGTTTAGGATATAGATAATGACATTGTACTTATCAGAATAGTCTTTTCCTCTATTCAAAATAGATGCTATTGGCTTTATTTTTTGTTTTTTAATTTTGTTTAAACAAGGTGTCACCATGTTGCCCAGGCTGGTCTCAAACTCCTGGATGCAAGCAATCATCTCGCCTCCATCACCCAAAGTGCTGGGATTACAGGCATAGGACACCATGCCCAGCCACACTGTTGTTTTTAAATGTCAGTTTTCTTTAAGAATTCTCATAGTACTTTTCTGCTTCAGAGTTTATAGCACATCCATCCATCCTTTCAGTAGGCACTCATGGAAATGTAAGTCCATGCTCAAGTTCTGTTCTGATTAGTCTCATGATTTTTCAGAACCCCTTTTGCTAATCCCTCTTGGCCATTTTATTAATAATGTGTTTGACAGAGATTGAATCAGGAAACGTGACATTTCAGTTAACTAGTATTACCTGTTTGTAGAATCTCTGTTGGAACATCGACTGTGAAAGACAGTGCTAACAGGTAATTCATATTACGTTTGGGGAATTAATGTAAAGTAACATCCATGCTATTCTTGGTTTGCCAAGAGTTACAGACCTTATTCTGTGCAGACTAAACCATTAGTCAAAAAATACCGTTCATTCGAAAATAATTTATTAGTGTCTTCCTACTCTGTTCCAAACAGTAGGCTGAGTTCAGAGGCCTCACAGAATAAGGAAATGCGTTCTTAGCCAAATCAGGCAAATCTCCCTCACTATGTCCCTGAAGAAATCTCTTCATCTGATATATTTACTATTCATCTCCTTTGTATAGCACTATGTTAGGGTCTTCTGGGGATTCAGAGAAAAATGTCTGGGAGCCATTAAGGAACTCAGATCAGGTAATAAACACTTTTTCTAATGCATTCCAGTGTGTCAGAGACTGTGTAATTACTTTATACTACTTCGTTAAACTGACAGAACATCTAAGGTGACAAAAGAGATGTTTCCACCTGTTGGTAAGGTTGATGCACCTGTCATATGTTAGATGTTCTTGGTTTTTAATAGATGCAGCAATGAGAGAGTACATTGATAAAGTCAGAACTTAATTTGAATTAAATTTTCAAGTTTCCAAAAAGTATTTGAAAACTTTGAAATTGTATTTGGTGATTACACATGCAGCCGTTTAAATTTTTATTGAGCATCTCAATGGAAATCAATCTAAAGGAGTAATAATGACACCTGACAATTACTAACAACCTTTGTTTATGTAAGACCTTGTGCAAACTGTGTGATAACATATGTTTGCACTTTGTCTTTAAAATAACCCTGTAAGGTGCATTATTTTAATTTTTAGATCTTAAAACTTAGCTTCAAGAGAAATTAAGTGATTAGTCTATAGCTACAAATCCTATAAATGGCAGAGTCAGGAATTACCCCTGAGCATGACTCCATAAACTCTTAATTGTTTTCCTGCCTCTTAATAAATTGACCATCCTTGAGACTGACTAGCCTTCAGATTTTTCATGATGGAGCTATCACAACTTCTCAGTGGATGCATATATTATTATGGCAAATCAAGGGAAAATTTTGGAAACCTCAAAATTCCTGTCTTTTAAAGCCCTTGGTCATCCATTCCTACTTTTTATAAAAATTCTTTTTGTGATTATTTGATGGCTGCACACTTATCTGATTTGAAAGTTTCAGATGGAATCAAGATATGTCTATACCCATAGGGTGAGCTCAAAGAGCCGTTAAAAGGTCTTGAGTTGGGTTATTTTTAGTAATGAATTTGTTTCATACTTGAGATGTTGCTCTAAGTATTTTGTAGATTCCGCTGAAAAAGCACATATGTCACAATCTATTAGGGCATTAGTAAACTGGCTTCTGAATTTATGCTCTTATTTTTTTTCCATAACATAGATAAAAATGTGTGCTTTAGGGGATATTATATAAGCTTTATTTTCATTGGCTCTGCTGAAAGTTAAGGATACAAAAGTTTTTAATGGTAATACCCCAAACTATATGTCATTTTAGCACACACATACCAACTGGTGATCATACCTGTCTATTTTTGTTTTGTTTTGTTTTGATATGAAGTCTAAACTAGACGAAAACCTCAATATATCCTTAGGGGAATTCTTATTATTTCAATGACATAATAAACCTCCGTATTGGGTCACTCTTTTCTTAATATAAAACTATGCTGGCTCAGAAAGTCTTCTAAACTCCCTAGTTGGGATACGATGGGCCTTTGTTGATTTGGTTTTGATTTCATTCAGCAAATATTTACGGAGGCCTAGTAAGTTCTGGTACTGAATAAGAATGTTTTCCAGGAGAGTTAAATTTTGCACATCAAAAGTCTTTCTGGGAAGCTGCTGGTTTTTAACACTCTTTCTGGGCCTGGACTCTTTCTGCCTCTTTGCTTTCTTTGAGCACTCACACCACTGTATTTAAATAATCAGCCTAGGATTCTGCTAGTTCCAGCACTAGAGTGGTCTCAACTGTTTTCTCCTCTCGGTTCCCCGACTCTGACTTGGTTAACACCCTTCCTTTAGTCTTTTTCTAATTTAGCCTTTCCAACACATTGAAGGACAAGTGGTAATCATAATCTATAAGGAATGGTACTGTAGTGCTTGCAAAATATGCATTTTTATTGCTTGCAAGATAGAATTCAAACTCTTTGTGTGACATATGTGTCCTACTGCACGTTGCTCCAACATTCCTTACCAATATTGTCTCCTCCATTACATGCTGTAGATTATATATATATGTATGTGTGTATATATATACACATATATATGTGTGTGTGTATATATATGTGTGTCCATATATATATATGTGTGTGTGTATATATACATATGAATGACATGAGCAAACAAAATGCTTTCAGTTTATCTTCCTGGGATCTCAAGCTCCTTCAGACCACTGTATATTTGCTGAAGGTCTTTCATCCTATGACATTCCCCTTTGCCTGATGATATATTTATCCTTTAAGATGCCAGTCAAATTCCTCTCTTCCAAAGCTCCTGGAATCACACCTGCCAATTATCTGACCCCTCTGTGCAGTTAATACAACTTTAAAATACTTTTATTTTTAGCACCTATATATTGCAATTTTTTGTGAGTCTGCTTCATGCCTATACACTAGGGTCCCTGGAGAGAGACAGAACGTATTCTGTAAATTGTTGTACGTCATCCAGCATTGAGAGCCATGCCCAGGCCCTGGTAGGTACCCAGCTACAGGGGAAGAGCCACTCTGTCAGTAGCTTATGGCCAGATGGCTTTTTTTTTTTTTAAGCCCCAGAAAGAGCTGCAGAGTTCTGACTTATGCAACATTAGCCTTGCTCAAACACCACAGTATGCATTTTACAAGAAAAAACAAACATACATATTTTCTTTAAAATCTCTTGATTCTTCATTAACATTTTTAAAAGAAATGTTTTTATGATTATTTGGTGGCCATGCATCTGATTTGAAAGCTTTAGATGAAATCAGTATATGTCTACATTCATAGGGTATGCTGAGAGAACAATTAAAATGACTTGAATAACATCTTTTTATTTTTTCTTTTTTTGAGTTGAAATCTCACTCTCTCACCAGGCTGGAGTGCAGTGGCACGATCTTGGCTCACTGCAACCTCTGCCTCCTGGGTTCAAGTGATTCTCCTGCCTCAGCCTCCTAAGTAACTGGGACTATAGGTGTGCGCCACCATGCCAGGCTAATTTTTTGTACTTTTAGTAGAGACGGATTTTGCCATGTTGGTCAGGCTGGTCTCGAACTCCTGATCTCAGGTGATATGCCCATCTAGGCCTTCCAAAGTGCTGGGATTACAGGTGTGAGCCACTGTGCCAGGCCAAGAATATCCTTTTTATATATTGCAGACAAACTCAAAACTGAATCAGCTTACAGAAAAGCATACAAAAAGGTATCTTTAAAAATCACCTTAAGGCCAGGCACGGTGGCTCACGCTTGTAATCCTAGCACTTTGGGAGGCCGAGGCGGGCAGATCACAACGTCAAGAAATGGAGACCATCCTGGCCAACATGGTGAAACCCCATCTCTACTAAAACTACAAAAAATTAGCCGGGCTTGGTGGTGCATGCCTGTAGTCCCAGCTACTCAGGAGGCTGAGGCAGGAGAACTGCTTGAACCCAGGTGGCGGAGGTTGCAGTGAGCTGAGAGCGTGCCATTGCACTGCAACCTGGAGACAGAGTGAGACTCATTAAAAAAAAAAAAAAAAATTCACCTTGCAACAAAATATCACCATCATGAAAAGTCCACAAAGCACAAGTAGACACCAAGTTAAACATTTTGACAGTTTGCTAGTCAAAATGAATTCTTTGCATGTGAAAAGCAGAGAGAGAGATTTTTTTTTTCATCAGCAAAATCGAAAGAGACAGTCATTATTCACTATGTCATATCCCATATAAAAATATAGCATATATCATTTAAAGGTTCATGTCGTGTTATCTTGGTTATTGCCATGAGAATAAATAGTCTTTCCTAGAAATGATATGCTCCTAAAGAAGAAGGGAGTGGAGAGTGGTAGTTATTAAGAAATCAGTTTGAAATCAAGCTGACTTATTTTGGAATCCTGCTTCAACCACTGACCTGCCAACTGACCTTGGCAATAACTTGCACTTTATGGTTATCAGTGTAATTTTCCTAAAATGGAGACGATGGTGTCTAACACATATGGTGGTTGTCAGAATTAAAGGCATGTATAGTAGTTGACACAGTATCT